ATATAATATATAATATTATAAATAACTCACCAGCCCATAGTAGATGATATATAAAATTTTAATATGAAGTTTATAACATAAAGTAATATACTTATTATATATCATATATTATAATTTATTATATAAATATCTATAGGGTTATACAAATATTCTTATATATATATTATATATATATATATATATAATTAATGATATATAAATAACCGACCACTTATTATATCTTATCCTATTAATAATATATTATATATTAAAATATATATAAAAATAATATTATATATAAGCATTTATCAATACTTTTTTTTTGAAATCTTTACATTGAAAAGAAATATTAAACATTTTTCTCTACCAAACTTTTTCATTTGCAAAAGCCCCACAATTTGTTAATTAATTTTAAAGGCCTTGTTTTTAAACAGAAGCACTTACAAAGAACTCTGTTCTTTAAGGATAAAAGCAAAATTTCAACATCTCCAAATGGGGTAAAAAAACATCTTGAAAAATTTTAAAAGAAAATTAAAATTTGAGAAGAGTAATGATCCCTTGTTATACGTTTGCCACACAAAATTTTATTTACAAGTAAAGTTTTGTTTTTTTAAACATAATTTATAAACCAATTAATTGCATTAAAAACTTGCAATTACCGCATTTGAAAGGCCCAAAAGGCCTTGCAAAAACTCTAGAAAAAAATGACAAATTTAATCTAATTAATGTTTGTGTTATTTTTGACAATTCCTGGTAGAACATCAAAATTCCTCCTGATCCCCAAATAGATTTTCCACTGCTACTTTGGGTGGGAAATTTAATGGAAACTTTTTTTCCTGCCGTTTGCCAATGTCCTTTGCCGCCTGAAGAATTCAATAATGAAATTGTTTTCCAAAAATTGGCTCAGCAAGAAACAAACTTCTTGGCTGCTGTCCCAAGTGTTTAACCAAAAAACACTAGAAAATGCATTTTACCAATCAAAATTTTATCTTTAGGTTAAAGACTGGTAATAAAGTTGCTTAATAAGATGTCTTGCCGCGGGTCCCCTGCCCCCAAGGTCCCAGTCAAAAGAGCTTAAGAAAATTTTGGCCACTTATCAGAAACCAATAATAAAATGGGAATGATTCCGAAAAATTTTCAATTTTCAAGCTGTTAAATAAACGCACTGTGGAATTTAAAAATTCCTATGTTTTTATAAATCTTTCATTAATATTAATTATTAAATAATCCAGTTTGTTTTTAAGGCTTCAATGAAAGTAGAAGAGTGCTTCATGTCCCTTGGCAATGTTGAATAGAAAAAAACAGCCAAGTCCTTACGGCCCATGGAAAAAAAAAATGAATAATTTCCCTCCCCCGAAGCATTTGAAAACCACGGTCCCAACTGAAATTTTTTTAATCTCTGCAGCTAATCTAATCCCACAAACCGATTGTTCCTCTTGTTAAAACCCAATCCTGTTCCACCAGAAAAATTCAAGGGTAAGCCCTTTAGCTTCCATCCCTGGACCATCTCAGTTTACAACCTTCTTATATATCTTCTCCTCTCCTTCTCTCTTTTTTCCGTCCTTGCTTGACTTTATAAATGCCATCTTCTTTTTACTCCTTTGCCTTTCTTTTGGCAGTCTTGACAGAACCCTGCCCTGCTTTTTGTTCTTAATCCCCTTTAGGAACAACACACATGCAAACCCATTTATTGGCCACCAGAGGATGCAGGTGGATAATAACGAGATCCGGCGCCCCCCCTCTCTTTTGGCACTTTCCCCTCACAATATATACCACACATTTCACAGTATAAAATCAACAACTACCTTATCTACATTATCTTATGCTCGTGATAAAAAGCCACGTATAACAGAATCCCTCCCCCATCCCCACCGCGCGCCGAGCTTGAGACGATGGGCACCGAGCGAGGCGCGCTTTCATCCCTTTTATCTTACTCATTCCATCCTTTTGCTCTGTCACCATTCTGCCCTCACCTCTTTCTCCTCACCGACCTCCCTTTTCACTCAACTTTTTGCAAATATCTACTTTAAGAGACGGATGACCTTGCCCCTACACTAGGACACAGAACCGAAGAAAAGTAAAAGCACGCAGCAAGCGTACAGGTCCCTCTTTGACGCGTAATGCCTAGATGCTATACAAACCTGGCAGATCTGATTTAAAAATGTGGGCTGCGCACACAGATGGACGCCTGTTGCTGTCATGCCAAAGCCAATGTACCTATACCATGCGCTCACATGTTGGTATCCCCCTGGTAAACCCAGGTGGGCACCACAACACAACACTATCTACTCCTCTTTCTCCCATTCCCACTCTTTTCCCTGTTCTTGACGATTTATAACAAAGACCCTTCAGATTCTTGTTTGTTGTGTTAACCAGATGGACACGCAGCTTCGAGTGCTGAGACTCATAGTGACCCAGACCCAGTGCCTTCTGGAGCTGAGAGTACACCTGGCGCGAACACACTGTCCCTGTTCGAGCTCACGGAGAATCCAGTGGGGCACCGCCAGCAACCGACAGCGAGAGAATTCTCGACCGCGTTCCCATGACCAAGCCCAGGAACTCCCAGCAAACTAGCCCGTGCGCTAGATGACTCAACGTGAGGACAGCAGCCCAAAGTGGCCGCCCCAAGGGGCTTGCAATGGCGAAGGGCCTAGGACCTCTGTGATATGGGCCTCTCAGGCCCTTGAGACGGAGTGATGATAAACCCTCGTGTCTTCGGGGGTGCAGCCATCTCCTTTGAAAGTCGCCTGGCTAGGCACGTTAGCATAAATGAAACAAGAGGAGATAGATCCCTTTTGTCTCCCCGCCGCTCCTAAGTAGTTGCAGGTCCTGCAAAGGCCCTGTCCACCAATACTGGCCTCTAATGAAATGATGCCTCGACTCCGCTCGGAAATGCAGGTGCGCAGACAGATAGAAAATACATAAGTGGGAATTCTTGTATACTACACTACTTATCCCTTTCTTTGTTGTGTATAGAAAAATATTGGGCTGAGGACGAGAGAATACCCCATTTAATTGAGCTTGGTCAAGAAGATAAATTAAAAAGACCTTTTCACCCAAATGGGCAGCTTAATGCAGACCCTCAGGATTTTCAACAAGTTTCACAGAAAGCAGTATTTCTTGTCAGAACAGCCAGGGTGAAACCACAGCCGTCAAACAAAAGAAAGTAGCTGGCTCGTGAATTACTTTGTCTCTTTTGCTTCAATCGCAACTCTTACCATAATACAAGCTTTATTTATATTTATTCTCCCACCGTGCCCAAAGAGAACACAGCTTGCCGTAACCCACTTAATGCCCGACAGCTACTCAGCCCACATTCCTTTTAAGAACCCGAAGTTCCACTGAACACACCACATCCACACTGTCACCACCCAC